GTGAATCTTGCTACGGTGTCCTAACAGTCGCGCATCGGGATTGTGTCGTTCAGCCTCATCATCCCTGCCTACGCCTTCTCCCTCTTCCTGCCCACCATGATTACCGGTTTGGGTTTCTCTTCCTCAAAAGCCCAACTCCTCTCCGTGCCGCCAAATGCCGCAGGCTGTCTCACTACCGTTGTAGGGGGTGTACTATCTGACCGCTTCCGTGCGCGTGGCCCGTTCATTCTCGTCGGGTCGCTCACGGCGCTTGCGGGCTATTGCATCCTCTTCACAACTGCGGATTCGTGGACCGGATATGTTGGAACGATACTCGCAGTCTGTGGCCTATTTCCGAGCATAGTGTGCGTTCTTGCTTGGGCGGGTGGGAACTCGGGTGGGGAGGTGAAGAGGGCGGTCGCTATTGCGATCGTTATCGGGTGTGGGAATCTCGGGCCATAAGTCCGTTTTTCTACTCAGGCTCGAGCTTAGAGCAGTGTGCTGAGCCGAGCTCGTAGGATCGTCTCATCATTCATCTATCGGCAGCAGGACAGCCCACGGTACCTGCCTGGGCATGGGACTGCCATCGGCTGCTTGTGTGTCGCGTGAGTGGTGGGTGTTAGGCACAGTGCTAGCACTGATGCCTATGTTCATGCAGGATCGTGCTGTCTATGGTGGCAATGTTGGAGTTCACGCGACTGAATCGCAAGAAGACTGCAAAGTGTGAGCACGACAGTATCACAGAGGACATGGCGGGCGATTTTGTCGAAATGGGCGACGCCTCGCCACTCTACAGGCAAGATTCCTTCCTTCCTTTCCCTCACCGATCGTTTGACATTTGATTATGGCCCCATTACAGGTACACGATATAAGACCGAGCCTGAGTCCTGTAACGCCACCCCGAGGTGCCTCTCATCCCATCCCTATTTTTTCTCTGGCGCACAGGCAGCAGCCCAAATACCAAGCGAGAGGTGATGAAATTATGGACACTTCGCGGTTGGCTTCTCGGAAGAGATCGAACTGTTACACTAGACAAGCTCAGAGCGGACGCTGAACGGAAGAGCATGCGCTATGTACGATGGGAGCCACAATAATGATGATCTCAGATGTTTGAATATTTGCGTTAAATTGAGCGGGGGAGGTGCGATCAGGATTCCCATATTCCCATGCAGGCGCGATGTCCTGCAACGAAAGCCCCTCACTGAAACATGAACGTGAGAGATGCAGTACTAGTGCGAGGGCATGTTATCCAGGTATTCAGGGGCGGATAACAGGGCCTGGGCGTTGTCGACAACCATCCGCACCCCAGAGCCTCTTACATTGCATTGAGCGAAGGGTGAATCATCTGCATACAGCCGCAGGAAGCGGCCTTCGTGTTCTTGTAGCAGTGGCATTGGATATACGACCATTTAGCAACTCACGTGTCGAGGTGCGAAGGTCGAAGCCACGAACGAGTGTCCGTGGCCATAGCGCGCATGCACGAAGAGGGCTCAGATCCGGTAAACGGGAAGCTCCAATGGTTCGAGTTGGACGTAGAGGCGTCTAGCAAGATCAAGGACGTAGCGGCCACATTCCTCGAGGAGGAGGGCAGGCCGAACGTGCTCGGTGAGGTTTCCATGCTGCATTCGAACCAGTAGACAGCGTAGATGATGGACACTGTGGCACAGTGCATAACGCTGGGAGATATGTTGATATGTCGTTGTGAGCGCACATATCTAAACAAGGTTGTAAAAGGATGCGAACACCCTATGTGCTGGGCGAGAAAGGTCTGTTCTAGTGATACGGATGACTGGAACAAGGAATATACAAGCGCGAAGAATCCAATCGTAGGAGCAAAGAAAGATGACCAACTTCGATGCTGTACACCTTGCACCCCTTGATGCTTGTGTCCCTCTTAAATAATCATGCTGATGACATCGGCATAAACAAACCTGGCCATAACTCTCTATGCGCAAGAGCTGCAGAGAAGACTTGACGGAATACCTATCACTGTCATGTCCATGCACCTGGGATGGGTCTACACGGAATGTTTCCTGAGGGACCCGCTGCAGGATAGCCCTATTCTGGGATATCTGCAGATTTTTTTTCTCAAGCTCACCTTCAGGACTCCGACAGAAGAGGCGCACACTTCAGTGTACGCGGCGGTATTACCAGATGTAGGGAGAGGAGAGATCGCTTCAAGGGTGCGTGCTTGGGACCTCCTGGATGGTTCGCTACTCCACAACACCCTCAGGCAGAGAGCAAATCTTTAGCTGAGGAGCTCTGGAAGGCTGCTGAGTCCACGTGAGGCAATGGGAAGGCTGACTGTCTTAAAACGTACCTGCTGCTGTCGTTGTGATGTGGTCCTTGGATGTATATGCTATTGTAAATAACAGTGCAGAACTGTAACCTGGTAAGCTCATTCACTCGTATTTGAGTGTATGTGCACCAGTTTCGTCGGCCAATCAGTGACAAACTGCCAGGGCACGGAAAGCCGTTGTACAATGTACGGGAGAATCGGAGCGATGCCCATATTCTTCCCACGCAAGCCGGGAATGCCCGACAGGGGGCGCCCTTCGAGGTCAACGACGAGTTGCCCGAACATCGATACACCATTCATTCTCTTGGCATGATGTTTGTCCACTGCCTTCCTGCCTTGTCTTTACTACTTAGTCGGCAGAAAACGTCTATGCGTAGTGAGGTGAGTGATGCCATGCAGCACTTGTTTGTGGAGATCGTACGCATCATACTGAAGTCGCTCGTGACACATCGAGCAACTCCAAGCACAATCCCAAGCCTACGAGTTCGCTGACGAAGTCGGCGGAGGGGGTGCTTCATTGATCATTCTTCTGGTCCTTGATCTTGCGCAGCTCCATCTTCGCCTTGCTCTCCATTCCAGGATGATCTCTTTTCGCTCCCCGCGAGCCCGGCGGCTTACGCTCCTCCTGCGGACGGTTTGCATCTGCTCGCGTCGCTTGAAACCTCTTCTTTCCCTCCGCGGCCTCCGATATGAGATCGCCCGTGGTCTCTTCGTGGGGGTAGAGCTGTTCGAGCCGATGTAGGAATGCGAAAGGTACGAGTTCACTTCCGACTCCAGAATCATGAACGACCAACACGACCAACGGGCGGATTTAAGGTGCGACCAAGTTCCATAGCTTCATCGAACCCTTCCGCTCCGCACCCCGTCAATCTCATTAGCTACTTTTTGAGCCCTCATTGTCCAGGGTCACGCTACCTACAGGCGGTACTGGCCAGGAGGTTGAGGGTGTGGTGTAAAGGGTGCGCGGTCCGAGCTCGTGTCTGTCTAATGCCATGCGTCAAGAGTACGAATACCCGGCGATTCGGATTGTGGACGAGGGTCTGTTCCCTACGGCACATATCATTGCGGGCACGAGACGATATTCCTGGACGCACTACTTGACATGTATGCTCCATTACGGAGTTGGTTTTCGTAAGACAAGACGTCGATCATTAATGGTGGCTTGTGCCGAACTCCAGGACTGTACTGGAATTGCTTGTTGGGGCGAGCGGCCATCTAGCGAAATAGGAGCTTCTTCGAACAGTGTGTGGGAGGTTACACCGGTTACCCCTAATGAACGGCTCTATCGCGCTGTCGTTTACTCATACTATCCGCAGTCCGTCGCATCGTCCCGAACATGCCCCTCGAGCTCGTCGACAGGGCTCTCCCAAAGCTGTGGGAATCGAACTGATCCTGTCTCACGGTCGAGGCTGTTCTAAGGGCTCTCGGATCCTGTAGGGCTTCGTCTTCTGTGATGTGATGCACGCAACCACCCCGCGGACTGGACACTAAGAACACGTACGCCGAGCTTCCAATCTACCCCGCTCAGCTTAAACCGATCGACGGATACCCCGGCCATCTACGTAGACGCCCTTAGTCTGCCTTGCCTCAGTAGCGATCAACGCCCAAGGACGACTAGCACGCCCTCATGACTGTTGTGCCGGAACTCAAACCCCAAGATGTTGGGGTTGCCGTCCCAATCGCTCCTCAAATCAGTCTGGACACTTATGCCTACGACTACATCATCATCGGTGGTATGTACTCGCTTTCGAACGCTCTGGCCATATATGTACACGCAGACTCATGCATGCTTCCCAGGTGGAACCTCGGGCTCTGTGCTCGCATCGAGGTTGAGCGAGGACCCTAGCGTCTCGGTGCTGGTCATCGAACGTGGACCAGTTGCAGAAACCTGGACCTCGCGTGTACCCCTTCTGTCGTCGAACATCTTTGACAAGGATGGTCCCATACGTACTTGGTGGTCCTTGCCGATGCGCAACGCGAATAATCGGTTTGCGCAAATTATGTCATCCGAGGCGCTCGGCGGTGTGTCGCGCATCAACGGCCTGCTCTACACACGAGGTTGGTTGGTTGGTTGGCTGGATGCACCGGCGTTCTCGGGGTTGATTGAGGGTTTGGCAGGTACCCCCGGAGATTACAACCAGTGGAAAGCGCTCGGAAACCCTGGTTGGGGCTATGAAGATCTAGAACCGTACTTCGTGAAGTCTGAGAAGACGTCCAGTCATCCAGCGTCGAAGTTCCGTGGGCATGACGGTAGGCGACTCGAATTCTCTCTGAACCGAGCAGGTGCCTGATGGGTTTACGCACATCGCAGGGGTTTGGCAGAACCGGACCTCCAAAGATCCCTTCCATACGAATCAATAGTGAGTCCTACCAAACCCTTGCGCGAACTTGCGCTCATAAGAGATTGCGGACAGCATCGTACGTGCTCTGCAGAAGGCAGGCATAGAACAAGTGCCGGATCTGAATGCCCCGGATGCACCAGCTGCATGCGTGGGGCGTACGGACCACATCGTCGACAACGATCACGACAGGAGTTCGACCAATCGCGCGTTCCTCTCTCCGCAGCTCACTCAGGAGCGAAAATCACGCCTGAAGATCTGCACGAGCACGCTCGTTACGCGACTCGAGTTGGCCGGGCTGGGGGACGAGTTTCGTGCCGTTGGCGTGCATTTCGAGGCTAACGACCCGAGATTGGCGAGGCAGCAGTATTTCGCCAAGGCCAGACGGGAGGTAGTCCTGTGCGCGGGAGCGCTTGCATCCCCACAGATCTTGATGCTGAGGTCCGTATGCCTTGCCGCCGATTGTGGCGTGGCACTGAACTAGACGTTGCAGCGGTCTTGGACCCGAGGAGCATTTGCGACAGAAGGGTATCTCTGTCGTTCGTGATCTCCCTGCTGTTGGCAACCATCTAGTAGGCAGTTCATTCCGTTCCTACTCCTGTCACATTCTCATCCCATGTCCAGCAAGATCACGTCGGTCTTCCGATTATGTTCGAGGTTCCCATGCGCGACTCCGTCCATCAGCTACAGACGAACCCACTCATGGCCGCGGTCGAGTTCGGGAAATATTTGGTCGCTGGCCGTGGTATACTCTCTCACCCCTTGGAGCTCATGTCCACGTTCGTCCCAACCCGTCTTCTCGACGAAGACCTCTCGCTCTCCACACATGATGCCCGCGAGCTGGACGCATCCATCCCGAAGAACCGCCCCGACATCGAGTTCATGCACATTCCCAGCAACAGTACCCAATACGATATACCCGGCAAGGGCATCTTCACG